TTTACATATTTACTGTATTTATATCCCGCCTTTCACCTCAGGAGGGACCCAAAGCAGCTCACGTCATTTTCCTCCATTACATCCTCACAACAACCATGTGAGGTAGGTTAGGTTGAGAGTCTGTGACTAGCCAAAGGTCACCCAGAGGGCTTCCATGCGCTAGTGGGGTTTCGAACCTGGGTTTCCCAGATCCTAATCCACACTTTACACCACGCTGGCTCTCAGACTCTCTCTGGAGGAAGGGATATTGTAATCCCCAGTTTGACAGGAAACTAACAAGTGTGATGAGGTGCCCCGCTGACCTCCACGGACAAGAATTAAGTTCTGTTGAAAGGGACAAGTAGACAGCAGCATCCGCAGCCTGTCATGCAGTTATTTGGGAAGGCTAAAATGAGTGTTTTGATGGCTTTCTGGGCATTTGATTTCCTCCCCTAAATGTGACCACTCTGAGGGAAGGGCACACTATCGGCCGTAATTTTTCCTAAGTAGTATTCCAATAAAAACAATTCCCTCACAAAACGTCACATTCGTTTGGCCGTTTCCCCCCTTGATCCGTTCACGTATTTATTACTCATTTATTTACTTTTGTTTGTATCCCACTGGAGTCCCAAAACAGCTTACGTGGCTCTCATTTTCATATTCAGCCCCACCCCACCCCCAAAAAACCCACCTTGCTTGTCCATGGGGAAAATCTCCTGCGAAAGCCATGTCTGCATGACTAGAGGTTTCCCAATGGACACAGTTGTTGTTTTTTGTTTGTCTGGTGCGCCTCATAGTACTCGATATCCTTCATGTCAGGCCGTGGAGCCACCTTGGCCTGTGAGGGAACAGTTTTTAAGGCCAATGGCCGAAACAGTTTTTGTGGAACGGGGGAAAGCATATGGAGGGAGGAAATAACATAAGACAGCAGAAATAAAATTGGGGGAGAGAGCCAGAAGGCGGTTATGTGGGAAAGCACTCTTTTATCCCTCATGTTCATGTGTCAGCCAGTGTTACCTCTAAGCTGAGTTAGTGTGAGCTAGCTCACAGTTTTCTAGCCTGCAGCTCACAGATTTTTGTCTTAGCTCTGGAAGGATTGTTCCAGAGCAAACTAATTTATGCAGTAGCCAAATTGCTCACTCACAACTTTAATGCCAGTAGCTCATAAAGTAGAATTTTTGCTCACGGGACTCCGCAGCTTAGAGGGAGCATTGGTGTCAGCTAGTACGATCCAGAGTTTTCCCGGCACATCGATGTAAGACAAAGAATTTTTATTTTCTTAAAAAAATTTTTTTTCTAAAATGCTGATTATGAATCAGGCATTGGGCATGGTTCACAAAGAGACACCTCTTGTTCCTCCGCCACCCCCTTCTGATGTGTTTCTGGCACAAGGCGAGCCTTCCCATAGGGGGTTAGCTAAGGACGTTGTGCACCGTGGTCTTTAATGGGCATTAGTGGAAAGATGGGGGGGGGGGTTTGGCTGAGGGCCTTGTTGGACACCCAGCTATGTTGGGTGTCTAATGAGCAAGAATTCTATCAGGGTGTTCCGGCTACATTTGAGAACGCGTTATTCTTCCACTGGGAGTTGCTGAGATGGTGTTACCTTCCTCTCTCGGCACTTCTGTCAGGCTTGGGACAGGCTGAAGGGAAATGCTGCGTGGGCCACGGGATCCCTAGCAGCATTGGTAACGTTGCCAACCTCCAGGTGGTCTAAAATAATAATAATAATACACAATTCTGATAATCTACAGATCATTATATTTAAAATTAGAATTAAAAATTTCGCTGAAATACCACGGTTTCACAGATACAGCTAAATGTGATAGGTTAAACAAGCATTGATTAATTTACGTTCTCACCATTCGTGACTAACTTATTAGTTTTTGTCTACGATGTTTTGTTTTATTATCCACTCTACTATTTATGTTATGTTTCAATTATATTGCTTGTATTAAAATAGATCAAATAAAAAAACCCAGCGAATGCAGTTATACAAACAGAACAATCTGTCACGCCGTACAAATCACACTTGAGACCACTGTCTTCTTACACAGTTGTACTTACAACCAAAATTAATCCACGTAACAAATAGTTTTGCCACCATGCATCATTGACAACTGCACCAGTTGAATAGTGACCTGATAGTCCTTGAAAGTACAAGTCTCCCTTCAGATTGACGCGGTCACCTTTTGTGCAGAGAAGAGTTCCCAGAAGAAAGTATGCAGTAAATGGCATGAGCTGAAGACTAGCTGTAGTGGGAACCAAAGGAGCGGCGACGGCACGCCTAGGTTGCTTTGCTGTTTCTTAGGGCTTCATCAGGCCGCTTTTCTTAGTGGTGGAGCTCAACCCAGCTCTGGCAAGATTCAAAATGACACAAAGTCTACCAGTAGGTTCCAAGTAGCTAGGTCGCTATCAGGTCGCTATTCAACTGGTGCAGAGAGCTCTACCGAGGACAGCTCCTGAGAGAACAGCTCCGAGAGAACTTGTAACTGACCCAAGATCACATCAGCAGCTGCATGTGCAGGAGTGGGGAATCAAACCCGGTTCTCCCAGATTAGAGTCTGCCGCTCTTAACCACGACACCAAACTGGCTCAGTAGCCACAAATCGCTGCTCTTCTTTCCCAGATCTTTTCTGTTTGGCTTTTGTCCCGATCACATTTTGATCCACCCTTCCTCAAGGGAGCTCTGATTAGTGAACGTGGCTCCCTCACACACACCCTTCACTTCAGCCTCACGACAGCCCTGTTAGGCTTAAAAAACAGTGACTGGCCAAGGTCATCCAGTGCGCTTTATGGCTGAGCAAGCCTCCCCAGTCTAGAACACAACATCACGCTGTCCCTCCAGGGGAAGTGGGGGGAGACCCAGGCTCACTGTTTTACTTTCGCACTGAGCTCTGCTGTCTGCTCATGAGAGAGAGAGAGAGAGAGAGAGAGAGAGAGAGAGAGAGAGAGAGAGAGATCTACAGTACAGTTCTCCAGTTGGTTAGTTGTGACCCAAAAGTAATTTGCAGCTTGGACCAAGACAGGCCTCAGCAGGGTCCTGAGCTCTTATAAGAGAGAAGAACAGAGAAACTAAGAAGGACAATCTGTATACAGAAAAGAAAGAAAAAGCCCACATTTTTGCTGTATACAGTGGGGGGAAACCCTCCAACATGGCCTTTCTTCATCGGGAGGTTAAGGAGGTCAGGGCTCTTTAGCTTGAAGGAATGATAATTGAGGGGTGACATGGTAGAGGTTTACAAAACTATGCCTGGGATAGAGAAGGTGGAGAAAGAAGTACTTTTCTCCCCTTTTCACAATACCAGAACTCGTGAGCACTCAATTGAAATTGCTGAGCAGTCGGGTTAGAACAGATAAAAGGAAGTACTCCTTCACCCAAAGAGTGATTAACACGTGGAATTCACTGCCACAGGAAGTGGTGACGGCTACAAGCATGGATGGTTTCAAGAGGGGATTGGATAAACATATGGAGCAGAGGTCCATCGGTGGCTATCAGCCACAAGGTATAGATAGGAACTCTCAGTCTGGGGCAAGGGATGCTCTGTATTCTTGGTGCTGGGGGGGGGGGCAACACTGGGAGGGCTTCTGGAGTTCTGCCCCCACTGGTGGGCCTCCTGATGGCACCTGGGCTTTGGCCTGATCCAACATGGCTCCTCTTATATTCTTACATTCTTAAGTGGGTCTTATGCAACAGGCAAAGACAACCTGAGATGTTTGGGGGGTCTGGTAGGATGCATGTTTTGTTGCCTTTAATGGTGTCCCCAAATTTGCTGACAGAGGCAGGTCACCTTATCCTGCCTAGTGAGAAGATTAGCCCTGTCTGCAGAATTAGGGTTGAAGATCCAACACTCTGACCACTATACCACACTGACCACTCTGTCCTTCTGGGCATGATGCGCTGGGAAGTTCTCTTACACACGTTCTCATTAGAGTGAAAGAGAATGGCTAGAGGAGAACTTCCCTGTGGCGTGCGCACCGTGTTAATTAACAGGTACCATTTTGACTGTCTGCCTCAGCACCAACGTGTCTTGAGATGGCCCTGACGATCAGACTAGCATTTTTAAATCATTGGGTGGAAGAAACTAGCAACTCTCAGCTTTAGCCAAAAGCAAGAATAAAAGCCATGTGAAACCTTTTCTTGGGACTAAGCAAAATGGCACGACAGTAATGCTAGGAAAAGCGGAAGGCAGCAGGAAAAGAGGAAAATCCAACATGAGATGGATTAGCTCTGCAAGGGAAGCCGTTTGCCAGACCCGAGCAAGGCTGTTAATAAGAGGACGCTTTAGAGGTAATTAATTCATAGGGTCGCTAGAAGTCGGGAGCGACTTGGCAGCATTTCTCACACACACACGAATCAGTATGCAAGTTTTCAAGGTCTCCAGGACTTTTCGTCAGGACGGATGTTACAAGGACAAAATTTAAATGGTTTGGGTGGGAAGGAACAGATGTCTCAGGCCGTGATCTTAAGACCTTACCTCATCAGCATCCTTCACAAAATGCTGAGCAGGTGTGCAGATTTAAAAGAGTGCTGGTGTCAAAATGCATCCCCTGGCATTCTGGGAAGAAGAAATAAAATAATGGGGTCCCACCCATTGGAATCACAAAAAAAAAACCAGCAGCAGCCTGAATGTCTCATCGAAGTCCCCTTGGGCCTTGATTTCTCTGTGGACACAGGGTAAAGTTCCTCTGTCCTTGGCTTCTCTGTGGTGAAGGCCCTCTATCCTTACCTTGGTAATTAAGGGCTTTTCTATATTCTCGGTTTCCTCTCTTGTGTGTCACCATTGCGGGGGGGGGGGTCTGCTCCACATGTGTTTTGCTCCCTCTAGTGGTCAATTCAATATTACATCATTTTATGTCCGTCACAAAAAACTGCAGCTTGAATCTGCAGGGAGATATGCCAGACGTAAACTGATATAATATCGAATAGACCATCAGAGGGAGCAAAACATGTGTGGAACAGAACCCTCCCATCCCCCAAAGCAACAGGAACACACAAACAAGGAAAATGAATATGCAGAAAAGCCCTAAGAGTAGAGAAGAGTTTACATTTAATTTTGCTTTTGGGGGCTGCAGCAGGGACTGTTGCTCGCACTGACAGAAGACGAAAGGGCTTGCAGCCAGTGTTCCCTCTAAGCTGAGTTAGTGTGAGCTAGCTCACAGTCTGTTAGCCTCCAGCTCACACATTTTTGTCTTAGCTCAGGAAGGAGGGCTCCAGAGCAAACTAATTTATGTAGTAGCCAACTCGCTTGCTCACAACTTTAATGGCAGCAGCTCACAAAGTAGAATTGTTGCTCACGAGACTCTACAGCTTAGAGGAAGCATTTCTTGCAGCCTGCGTTGGCAGCACTGTGTGGTTCTGACGGCATTCTGTCTCCTTTGTAGGGCTTTTTCCGACGGACCATCCAGAAGAACCTGCACCCGACCTACTCCTGCAAGTACGATGGCTCCTGCGTCATTGACAAGATCACCCGCAACCAGTGCCAGCTTTGCCGATTCAAGAAGTGCATTGCCGTTGGCATGGCCATGGACTGTAAGGGCGTTGCGCCCGCTGTGGAGGAACAGGGGATGAGCGGGGTGGGGAAGAGATGGGGGAGGGAGTAGTTGAGCTCTTGGATGAGGGACCCTGTGGGAAGGAAGATGGCCTGTGAGGGACTCATGTCTGGGAGGGCCACAGCTAACCTTGAGAGATGTGTTGGTACGGCGTGTTGTGGAAGTATAAGGGCCTCGCCCAGAATCTCTAGTTCAGGGGTCCCCAACACGGTGCCTGTGGGCACCATGCTGCCCACCAACACCTTTCCTGGCACCTGCCAGGTGTTTTTAGGAAATGGTTCTGCCCAGCAGGATCTGATTAGCCACTGGAGATCTAACGGGCTGTACAAATTAAAATGTCGTAGTTTCGGTGGCAGCTAACACCACAGCGTTGGTTCTGTTTCCCCCCTCTTGTCTCCTACACTTGGGCTGCCTTTGTGTGTGGCTCTGCGTCCCACAACGGTCATTTTGTGGTCACGTCCACCACCTTGTGCTGGAGTCCCAAAGATGCCCAGAGGCTCAAAAAAATTGGGGATCCCTGTTCTAGCTGTTGAACCTTGATGTATCCTCAGAGCTCTTGTAGTGGCTGTTCCAAAATTCCGTAGAACACCATTGGAGTCAGCCAGTCAGCTTGCTTCCCGTGAGGCCTTTTGGGCACGCCGATGGTTGTGACATAGCCAAACAGGCCACAAAGACTCTTGGGAGGGGGGGACTGAGAAGGCCGTGACTGGCCGTGGATGAGGCCCTCCCCTCCACTCACGCCCTCCCCATTCTCCGCCGCCCCCTAGTGGTGCTGGATGACTCCAAGAGGGTAGCCAAGCGGAAACTGATCGAAGAGAACCGGGAAAGGCGGCGCAAAGAGGAGATGCTGAAATCCCTTCAGCATCGGCCGGAGCCGACAGCGGAGGAGTGGGAGCTGATCCACATCGCCACGGAGGCACACCGCAGTACCAATGCCCAAGGCAGCCACTGGAAACAGAAGCGGAAATTTCTGGTAAATCGCGGTAATGGGTACAAGCGTGTGGATTTCTGCTGGGGGGGGGGGTTTGCATGCGTCCATGAGGTCTGCTATCCAGTTCGAAATCCTGAGGATCTTTTAAAAGATAAGTTCCAGGGCTCTTTTTGAAGCAGGGACTCCTTTGCATATTAGGCGACACACCCCTAATGTAGCCAATCCTCCAAGGGCTTATAGTAGCCCCTGTAAGAAGTTCTCTGTAAGCTCTTGGAGGATTGGCTACATTAGGGGTGTGTTGCCTAATACGCAGAGGAGTCCCTGCTACAGGCAGCATATACATTTTGTACATAAAAGTTTTCAAAACTTTTATGTACAAAATGTAATATGCTGCCTTTCTGCCCAGTCAGGACCACCCAGGTGGCCAACGGTTAAAATGAAACATTATAGAAACTCAAAAGCACATAAAACTGTGACCGCGACGTAGGGCAGGGAGGAGGGTCATTGAGGGAACGCCACATGGAACAAAGGCGTCATCCTCTGCTGCTGAGAGACAAGGCTGGAAAGGGTCAGGTGCCTCTGGGAAGAGAGTCCCACAGTTTGGGTGTCAGAGCCAAGAAGCCCCCCCCCCCCTCTCAGGGCGACACCTGCCTGGTCTCAGAAGACGGGGGCCGCTGCCTTGCGGGGCCTTGGAAGATGAACTTGGTGGTCAGCCAGGTTCGTAGAGGAGTAGGAGATCTTTCAAGTATGCTGCTCCCAAGCCTGTTATATTCCCTTGCATGCCTCCAGTCTGGTGTAGCGGTGAAGTGTGCAGACTCTAATCTGGGAGAACCGGGTTTGATTCCCCACTCCTCCACTTGCAGCTGCTGGATGACCTTGGGCAGGCCATAGCTCTGTCAGGGCTGTTCTCTCAAGGACAGTTCTGGAAAGAGCTCTCTCAGCCCCACCTACCTCACAGGGTGTCTGTTGTGGGGAGGGGAATGGAAAGGAGTTTGCAAGCCGCTCTGAGACTCCGAGTGACGGGGTATAACTCCTCCTCCTCCAGTCTCCTGCCCCCCCCCCATGGCTTCTGTTTTGAGTTCACCTTTCTGTCGCCTTCCTTTCCCCGCTGCTTGCCAAATAAGAAAAGGGAGAAAAAAACAGATTTGAAAATCTGCCAGAATACCGTATGCCAAATAAGCATAATTTATTCCACGCCAGACCCGTAGCCAGAATTTTGTGGCTTGTGGGGGGCAAAAAAAATTTTTTCTGGTGGGGTTGGTGGGGCTGCCACTATTTGCCATGATGAAGGGGGGGTGCACCCCTCTCCCTCCCCTCCTGCAAGATTTAAAGGGCCCTTCGGCTGATTGGCAGGCCACGTGCTCCCCGCCTGTCAGCTGGAGAGCCCTTTAAACCTTGCAGGAGGGGAGGGAGGATGCGCCATCCCCCTACTGCTTCACAAAAGCATTTAAAGTATCCCTTTAAGAAATGGGGGGCCCTTTAAGAATCCCTTTAAATGCTTTTGGGAGGAAGAGGGGCCCTTTAAGGGAGGGAGCTGGCCCTTTAAGGGAGGCTGCAGAAGCTCCAATAACCCCACCATAGCTACAGGCCAGCTCTAATCCCCAAGACTGGGGACGAATGCAAAGCCCATGCAGATATTCTGCTGTCCTGCATGAGTGCACTTGGTACTGTCGGGAACAGGAGCCTGCAGCCTGCCATGCCCGCTTTTTACCTTGTGTGTTCTTCTGAGTGGCATCTGGCAAAAGGGATTCCCGTGTTCATTCATGTCTTACTACGCCCCTCGTCTCCGGCCATTTGCTGGCCGTTCTGCTACCCACCATTTAAGGCTTGTAAAGAACAACCACTTGACATCCAGGAGAACAAAGTCCGAGTCCAGTGGCACCGTTAAGACCCACAAAGTTTTATTCAAGGGATCAGCCTTCAAGGCTGTGGGTCTTAACGGTGGGTCTTAACGGTGCCACTGGACTCGGACTTTGTTCTGCCACTTCAGACCCACACGGCTACCCCCACCTGAATGTTGACAGACATCCAAGAATTAGAGAGCTATACATACTTTGTTCTGAAAAGGTTACACCCATAAGGCCTAGGAACTTGCTTTAAAAAACAGAAGCTGAGATTCTCAAGAAATAGCATGTATTTTCAGCACCTGCAGAATCATGATCTATGCTTAACCTGGGGCATCATGTTGCATATTAGTTGTTTAATTAATTAAATTTCCCCCATTCCCTGAGCACATTTCAATGCCTCCACTCACCTCTTCTGCTGGCAAGCTGTCTGTCTTTAAAAAACTGAAAAGGGGGGGGGTTCTCTCCCTCCCCTCCCTCCCCTCAGATTTTCCAGTTGAGTGTGATTTCCCCCCCCCCCAAGACTGCAGTCTCTGTGTTTTAAAACTGGCTTTACATTCTGAAGTGTGATGGGAGTGGTTTTAAACACTTCAGACAAGTTTGTCACAACTGACTTGTTCTGTGGGTCTCAGTGGGTCATAGGCCTAGTTCAGGCAAACAGCAGGGGGAGGTGGGAAAACCTGTTTCTGGCCTTCTTGGATGACAGGTGGGGGGGGGTCACATCATTTAATCCGTTCTCACACAGAATGTTCCCTGCACACAGAAAGGTAGCGTGTTTAGATCCTTCGCTGAGTTTTGTATGTGTGCATGGATGGATCTTGTTGCTCACACTGCAGCATTTAACCATGCAATTCAGAGTAGGGACTGTCCTGAAAGAGGTGTCTTTTCTCCGCTGCTCTCTGTGAGGACTAAGTGCTGATCACCACTAAGTATCGCAGTGTCGGGACCACAGAACAGGTTGCCGCTGCTCAGTTAGAGGCAGGTGTCAGTCTTGTGTGTCTAGTTGGTTATTGTTCAAATTGTAAAATCATTTTTAAATCCCCTTAGAATCCCCTGAAAAAGATTCGAACCTGTGTCTCCCAGTTTCTAGTATGACACTCTATAACTACTACACCACACTGGCTTCCTTGTATATGCCTCATTAAAGTGCTTGTTGGCTGTTAACTGTGTGATTGTAGGAACCCTCTAGGTTTGTTATGGAAGTTGCAACCCCTCACGTGTTTTCAGCACTTTCCAAAAGCCTTATATTCACAGACATGCTGCTAATCAGTATTAACATTACAATGTGGGTTAAAATAAAAGGCCTGACCAAGTTAAGCACTTTAAAAGAAGGTTCCTTCTATTTAGTGGGGAGATTTAACCCTGTACTTAACCCTGCTGTTGAAATTAATGGGACTTGAAAAGTGTTGGGGGTTTTGCCGTTTATTTGGGTGTTTGTTTGCTTTCGGGGGGGGGGGTTTTGGAGGGGTGTGTGCTCATGCTATACAAAACAGAGCCATTGTGGTGTAGTTGTTAGACTGTCAGACTAGAATCTGGAAGATCCAGGTTCGAATCCCTTCTCTGCCACGAACACTTACTGGGTGACCCCAGGCCAATCACACACTCTCACTGTAACCTACCTCACAGTATTGTTGTGCAGATAAAATGGAGGGGAGGTGAACAACAGTGGGCCACTTTGTGTGTGTGTGTGTTAGGGTTGCCGTGCCCCTGGTTGGGGCAGAGGATCCCTAGATTTTTTTGGGGGGGGCAATCCACCGGTGGCCAGCTGGCTGGCAGGGGAAGCCCCACCCCCGAACATCAGCATCCCATGGGGACACCAGTGATGCAACGACATCACCAGTAGTGACATCATCCCACTGGGGCTGTCGTGCAGTAATGCTCTTATCATTCGTGGGGAAGCTCTATGGTTATCATAGAGTTTTTCCTAAAATGCTAGAGTGTCACTGCACGACACCCCCAGCATGATGACCTCACTACCGGTGATGTCATGCACACAAAGCAGGAACATCCCAGTGAGGAGCCAGGAGACACACACACCCCGCCGCAACCCTGGCAATCCTAGTGTGTGTGTGTGTGTGTGTGTGTGTGTGTGTGTGTGAGAGAGAGAGAGAGAGAGAGAGAGAGAGAGAGAGAGAGAGATTTCCTTTCCAGGGTATTTCATATAGATTAGTTCTGAGTTTTAAAATTATATTCTCCCCTTCATTCTAGCAATTGACATTGATAGGGAGAGTTTCTGGTTTAGATAAATCTGTGAGCTCCGAGTTTAGTTTGTTCATGTAGAAATAAATATTCTTTATCCAGGCCTGCAGAGGAGTTTTTGAACGGGCTGCGCAGAGGGACACAGCTGTGACCTCTCCGTGCCCTCCAAGGGCAGAGGAGCAGGAAGCCTTCAGCCCCACTCCTCTCTCCTCCCCCCCCCCCCCCCCCCGATGGCAGGGATTCTTGGGTTCAGGGTGCCCTCTGCTGTCCACTCGGAGTCGGTGCCAGGGCAGGTCAGGAGAGGACAGAAAGGTCATGCAAAGTGGGTTGGGGGGGGAGAGGAAACCCAAGGGCGGAACGATTCAAAGGGAAGGGAAGCGCTCTCTCCTGGCCCTTCCCCACCCCCTCTGGAGCTTCAGAATGTGGGTCCAGGAACATGGGAGAAGCAGGGGAATAATAACTGAGTGAACCTCCACTTGCAATCCAGGCCAGAGAATGCTCTGGAGGCGCTAGGATGCGGAAGCTGAGCCGGTCGGGGTCAATAAGGCCTCATTCCTGACCCATAGCTAACGTGGGGCCCATGGGGCCCAGCCCCGAAGAAGAAGAAGAAGAAGAGATTGGATTTATACCCCGCCCTTCACTACCCGAAGGGAGTCTCAGAGTGGCTTACAAACTCCTTTCCCTCCCCCTCCCCACAACAGACACCCTGTGAGGCAGGTGGGGCTGAGAGAGCTCTCACAGAAACTGCTCTTTTCAAGAACAGCTCGTATCAGAGCTACGGCTTGCCCAAAGTCATCCAGCCAGGTGCAAGTGGAGGAGTGGGGAATCAAACCCGGTTCTCCCAGATTAGAGTCCGCGCACTTAGTGTTTCTTCTGGGGCCCCTCCCTCCCGGGCCACCCCCAAAGTGCCCCAACTTACCACCTGCACTGTGCTTTGATTTAATTAGCTGGCAGGCCCTCCCGAGGCTCCCTCCCGAAAAACTCCCTACCTACGGGGCTGCGTCGTTCACACCTAGTTGGATCCTGCACTCCAGTAATAGTTTGCAAGTGGGTTTTCTTGTGTGGGCAAGGCCAGTCCAGTGGCAAATGATTGCTCTGGGTAAGTGCAAGGAGAGAGCAATTGCTGGCAGAGTGCAGAGGCAGTTGGCTGAGCAGGAGGAAATGTTGTCACCCACCATGAGCCCTGCAGAGGAAGGGCCCCGAATTTGGGCCAGTGCAGACTTCATGTAGGGGGCTCCCTCATCACGCTCCAGAGACCGTGTGGGGTCCCACATCTCAGCCCCTCCCTGTAGCAACTTCCTCCTTCCCATCGTAACTGCACTTAAGGGGATAGTACTGCACAGACATCAGCCTCCGTAAAGACTGGAATGCGCTGTGAACGGTCAGAGAAATTGCACCTGATCCTGAAGGGCGGTTTTAAAAAGTAGGGTCGGATTCTGAGTGAAAAGAGCCAGGGTGCACACAAATATACAAGCCTGAGAGAGGACATTTGGCCGTTTTGTAAGCAGATATTGTGGGGGGGGGGGTTGTTCTGAGATGCTGTCGAGACGTCGAGCGGTTTCTCCCCACGATGGTGGAGCTTGAATGAGGAAGATTTGCCTGTATAGATGGCCTATTAGCCAGTACCTGTGACATCAGAAACCCATGCCCTCATCCCCTAACCCTAGAGCAGTTTGCCATTTTTTAAAAGCAAATATATAAGTGTACACGTGGTGCTTTTCAAGCACAGGGCAATGCGGAGGTCTGAAAACAGCATTTGGTTTTAGGGGTTGCACAAAATGCAAAAATGGGGAGAAAACGAAGTTGCGCTGTGGGTGAAGAACCTGCGGAGACTTCACAAAACGGGCTCAAGACTGCAAAAGCCGCGGAAAACGCATTAGTCTTTAAAATGCCACAAAACATTTGTTTTGGCAGCAACAGGCTAACCTTCTTACAATGGAACCCTTTCCGAGCCAATTTGGTGTAGTGGTTAAGAGCGCGGACTCAAATCTGGGAGAACCAGGTTTGGTTCCCCATTCCTCCACATGCAGCCAGCTGGGTGACCTTGGGCCAGTCACAAGTTCTCTCAGAGCTGTTCTCTCAAGGGCAGTCCTCGAAAGAGCTCTCTCAGCCCCACCTACCACATAGGGTGTCTGGTTCGGGGAGGGAGAGGAGATTGTAAGGCGCTCTGAGACTCTGAAATCCAATCTCCTCCTCCTCCTCTTCTTCTTCTTTTTCTTCTTCTTCTTCCTTAAGTCTTTAAAGGTTCATGATCCTCAATGGAGGGCCTCAGTGCACTCCCTCCCCCCCCCCCCCCCGGGGGGGGCCCACCCCTTGCAAGGAGAGGATCCAAAGCGCCAAACTCACCTTCCCGGAGGGCCTGATCCTGCTCTTCTTTTCTCTCTGCTCTCCACCCCCAGCCTGAAGACATCGGTCAGTCACCCATGGCCTCCATGCCCGATGGGGACAAAGTGGACTTGGAGGCGTTCAGTGAGTTTACGAAGATCATCACCCCCGCCATCACCCGCGTGGTGGACTTTGCCAAAAAACTGCCCATGTTTTCAGAGGTGAGTGAAGCGCGGGGGCAGCTGGTGTCAGAGGGTCGGAGGTCCGTGGGGGGGAGTTTGGCATCCTTGGTGTGGATCGCCTTGAATGTTTAGAGCAGGGGTTCCCCAACAAGGTGCCCGTGTGGGTGCCGTGGCGTCCGCTGACACCTTTCCAGGTACCCACTGAGTGTTTTTAGAAAATAAAAGTAAAGGTAAAGGTTTCCCTTGCTCAAAAGCCAGTCGAATCCAATGCTCCCTCTAAGCTGTGGAGTCTTGTGAGCAAAAATTCTACTTTGTGAGCTACCAGCATTAAAGTTGTGAGCAGGCAATTTGGCTACTGCATAGATTAGTTTACTCTGGAGCCATCCCTCCAGAGCAAAGACAAAAATGTGTGAGCTGGAGGCTAAAAAACTGTGAGCTAGCTCACACTCACTCAGCTTAGAGGGAACAGTATCCGACTCTAGGGTTGCGGTGTTCATCTCCATTTCCAAACCGAAGAGCCAGTGCTGTCCGAAGACGTTTCCGTGGTCATGTGGCCGGCATGACTAAACGCCGAGGCACACAGAAAGTTGTTACCTTCCCACTGCAGCGATACCTATTTATCTACTTGCAATTTCTTGCTTTCGAACTGCTAGGTTGGCAGGAGCTGGGGCCAGAGACGGGAGCTCACTCCGTCACGCAGCACTCGGGTCTCGAACTGTTGACCTACAGACCTTCCGGTGTGCAGCTCAGCGTCTTAACCTCTGGGTGGGGACAAATGAAGCTTCTGCCCAGCAAGGCTTCTGATTGGCCAGGCCATTGGAGATTTGATGGGCTGTGCAGATTTGTTAAAACGCTGCTTTGGCAAGTGCTGCCCCCACGGCACAGGGATCTTCACTGTGTGACTAAAGGTCAGCTGCGGCAGCCATTTTGTAGCTCTCTCTGCCTCCTGTGGGAACCATTCTGTGGCAGCCATTTTGTGGCTGAGCCCTCCATGCAGATTTTTAAAAATGTTTGGCGGCAGCTGCCCCCACAACACAAGAATCTTCACTGTGAGATTGAGGTAAACTGCAAGCAGCCGTGTTGTGGTGGCCATTTTGTGGCTGTGTTTGGATGATGATGATGAAGAAGAAGAAGAAGAAGAATTTGATTTGTTAATTGCCCTATCCCAGCTTACACCGAGCTCTGGGAGATGTACAAGGGGCATAATGCTGTAAAACAAATATAGAAATTTTAAAATATCCATATACAGTTGGTAAGAACTAAAAACAGAGTAAAAGGATCCAAGGTGGCGACACTTACAAATTTCTATTCCAGTTCTGCACTGCCCAGCCATTCAGTGGGGAGGGGGGGCGAGGGAACTTAAAAACGAAAAATACTGAGGGGAGAGGAGAAGGGTGCCCACCAACACAACCGACCGTTGCTGCCCTCAGCCAAAAGTTTAGCGGTTACGGGCAATGCTCCCTCTAAGCTGTGGAGACTTGTGAGCAAAAATTCTACTTTGTGAGCCAGCTATTTGGCTACTGCATCAATTAGTTTGCTCTGGAGCCATCCTTCCTGAGCTAGGACAAAAGCGTGTGAGCCGGGGGCTAAAAAACTGTGAACTGGCTCACACTAACTCAGCCTAGAGGGAACCCTGGCTACAGGTCCAAGCTCTGTCCTTGTGTGGATGAGAATGATGGGGGGCCCCTCCGGTGCCACCTCCTGGGGTCGGGCTCTTCCCCACCGCCACTGGGCTCCTCTAGGTCGACCTGCCAGCAGTTTGGGTGCCCCCTGCTAAAGAGATATCCTCTCCCCATCTCCCAAATGCTTCTCATCCTATCAGCGACCATTTTTCTCTTATTTATGTAGAGGTCTATACCCTACTTTTCTCCCCTCCTCCTTTGTTTTTCCTTCCCAACAATCACCCTGGGAGGTGGGTTAGGCACAGAGAGAGCGATCGACCCCAGGCCCTGCAGCAGGCCCCCACGGCAGAGTGGAGAACTGAACCGAAGCCTCCCAGGTCCTAGTGTGGCACTCTGACCACTACAGCCGTTGTGAGCCTGGTAGCCAATCATCATGCACTCTCCGTGTCCCCTTTTTTCCCATTCGTTTCCTCTATATGTATAAGTTAGAGGCTAATTGTAAAAGCACTTGGTATAGAGAGGACAAATCCACATATTTGGACAGTTAATGCCCAGACTGGAGTCCAGCAGGCAAGTTTTGGGAAGTTCTGCCTTCCAAGGCTGGTGTGACATAAAGCTGGCTATAAATGGTTACAAGCATGAGAACGTCTAGTCCAAGCTTTCCCGGTCACTTCATGGCCGAAGCTCTGACTGTTACATCGCACTGCTAAGCCTGCCGGGTCTCCAGGGTATCAGCTCAGTGGTACAGGAGGCAAGGCAACAAAGGAAACAGAGCACAATTGAACATAAGAACATAAGAGAAGCCATGCTGGATCAGGCCAATGGCCCATCCAGTCGAACACTCTGTCACAGAGAGGCCTAAACCCAGGTGCCATCAGGAGGTCCACCAGCGGGGCCAGAACTCCAGAAGCCCTCCCACTGTTGCCCCCCGAGCACCAGGAATACAGAGTATCACTGCCCCAGACATAAGAACATTAGAGAAGCCAGTACCATATTCTGGGTCACACAGTGGCCAAAAACCCAGGGGCCATCAGGAGGTCCACCAGTGGGGCCAGAACTCCAGAAGCCCTCCCACTGTTGCCTCCTGAGCCCCAAGAATACAGAGCATCACTGCCCCAGACATAAGACCATTAGAGAAGCAAGTACCATATTCTGGGTCACACAGTGGCCAAAAACCCAGGGGCCATCAGGAGGTCCACCAGTGGGGCCAGAACTCCAGAAGCCCTCCCACTGTTGCCTCCTGAGCCCCAAGAATACAGAGCATCACTGCCCCAGACATAAGACCATTAGAGAAGCAAGTACCATATTCTGGGTCACACAGTGGCCAAAAACCCAGGGGCCATCAGGAGGTCCACCAGAACTCCAGAATTACCCAGTAAACAGTTGCTCAGAGAGGAACCTGATAGCTGTCCTACCAGTATTTGTAGCCAGCCATAGCCAGCGGGATCCAGTTAACTTCCTGTTGGGTTAAACTACCAAGTGAGGCTACTGGAAGAGCAGCTTCTTAGGCACACAAGTGTTTTTTTTCTCCCCAAGAGCAACCTCAATCTCTGGAAGCTGAGTTTCGCAATTCAACCTGCCACTCCACCTCCACCTTCTGAGCAAAGCTGAGATCCTGCCTCCAAGCAAAGCGAAGATCCAAGTCTCCTGTGACTCTTTACCTGGCTTTGTCTCCTACCCAGGACCTTTGGTCTCGCTGCCTATAGGATCTCCAGCATGAAACCTGACCCATTCCTTGTCTTCTGGCTACAGCACAGGCTCCATCTCTGCATTGCTCCTGTGTCCTGTGTTCCTTGGTGGGAGACCACCAAGGAAGCCCAGGGTCATTATCAGGGGTCATTTCGTAGAAAAAGAGGTGCAGGAGCTCATTAGCAAAGCTCATTAGCACAACGTATTTGCATATGCCACGCCCCCTGACATCACCGGAAGTGTGTCGGAAGGCAACACCCACCGCTCAGGCTACACTGGACTGTTTTGGACTGCTAGCTATTGGGGGGGGGGATGTGCAGATCTGTCCTCGCAGAGGAGGGAGAGCTTGTACCTGAATAAAACTTGGTCTTAAAGGTGCCACTGGACTGTTTTTTTGGGGGGGGGCTCTGCAACTTACCTGGCTGCTTCTTGCTCTGACTGAGGGCTGCTGGGAGCAGGGGGTGGGACTTGTTGCATGTGCCCGCCCCCTGTGCGCTCCTGCAGGAAATGACCCCTGGTCATTATGCAGAGGCAGGCAATGCAAAACCACCTCCGAAAGTCTCTTTCCTTGAAAACCCATAACTTGACAGCAGTTGACACACATACACACACACACACACACACACAGGATAAAAGCGCCACCGCTAGGAAGCTATCCACCAAGGGCCAAGTCTTCTGACCAGGCCCGTAGCCAGGATTTTGTGGCTTGTGGGGCAAACATTTTTCTGGTGGGGCTGCCATCATTTGCTGTAATGAAGGGGGTGGCGTGTGCCCCTCTCCCTCCCCTCCTGCAAGATTTAAAGGGCCCTTCAGCTGATCAGCGGTGAGCATGCGGCCTACCAATCAGCTGGAGGGCCCTTTAAATCTTGCAGGAGGGGAGGGAGAGGGGCGCACGCCATCCCCTGCTTCTTCTCAAAAGCATTTAAAGGATCCCTTTAAATGCTTTTGGAAAGAGGTGAGGGGCCCTTTAAGGAAGGGGGCGGAGCCCCTGATAGCCCCACTGTAGTCATGGGCCAACTTATGACAGGTCCTCCTGCCCTGACTCCGTTGTGTCCTGCCCTTGACTTCCAGCTGCCTTGTGAGGACCAGATCATCCTGTTGAAGGGCTGCTGCATGGAGATCATGTCGCTGCGGGCAGCTGTGCGCTACGACCCTGAAAGCGAGACGCTGACGTTGAGTGGCGAGATGGCCGTCAAGCGGGAACAGCTGAAGAACGGCGGTCTGGGCGTGGTGTCGGATGCCATCTTTGATTTGGGCAAGTCCCTCTCTGCCTTCAACCTGGACGACACAGAAGTAGCACTGCTCCAGGCTGTGCTACTCATGTCCTCAGGTACGGGGGGCGGTGGGGCGGTTGTGCTCTCGTGGTACCCTCTCCTTCCCAGTATATGCCCCTTGCAGGGCGTCACGTTTGGGGCCGTTCGCATCAGGGATCTCACAAAGCATCTGTGTGGCATAATACAGGGGATGATTTTGGATGCCAGTTCAGATCAGCTGTGGAGGGGTAAAGGGACAGAGATCAGAGCGGAAGGTGACCGCGTACGCGTAAAGGGCTGGCCAGAAAGGGAGGTGGTCACTGAAAGGCTGGTGAAACAGGTCTTTAAGCTACTGCGTGTTTAGGAAAGTGGACTCCGGATGGAAGTTTGATAGGGGAATTGCCTAACGGGAGCGGACAGGCGAGGGGGGGGGCGGGTTGAGCAGCCAAGTTGAAAGAAGAGCCGGAGTTGGTTGGTAGACCAGAGGTGTTGTTGAGTGCTTGCTGATCAGTGTGACTGTTGGGCTGGCAATGAGGTCTTGGGTTACGTGCACAAGCAATTTCCTGCCCAGCTATGCCTTAGGATTTCTTTATGTTAAAAAAACCCTTCTTTCCCCCTTTGGTAAAGTTTGGGAACTTAGCTGCCAGTACTGCTTTGTTGAAGGTCACTTTATCTTCAGAGTTTTCCCCTGTTCCGTGCATGTTTTGCTCCCTCTAGTGGTATATTCTATATAACACAGGTGTATGTCCAGCATACCTCCTTGCAGGTCTAAACTGCAGGAGTCTATGGTGGACATAAACTGATGTAATATCGAATCGACCAGTAGAGGGAGCAAAACACATGTAGAACAGAACACACACAAACACACACCCTTTGAAGAAACAGGAACTTAAAGGAAGGGAAATGAGCAGGTGGGGAGACCCTTGGGCCCTCTCCTCCCCAGTCGCATTGTTGACAGAAAAAGCCTCCCCAAGCTGCTTTATACTCACTGGGGAAAACTTGGAGGCACTTGAATCCCTGTTCCTGATGGTGATAGAACCAGCTTGGGTGGGGGGCCTTGGAAAAACAGCTGGGGGGGAGGGTTATAGTTCCCTTGCAATGCTGGCATCTAAATTTGCAAAAGGAAGGAAAAACTTTTTAATAAAAATTGGAGGAAATCTCAATGTGTAGCGGAAACCCAGGTTACAGGGGGCCGTTATGGCAGAGTATGGCTGGGGTGGTAGGCAGCTACCACTGGTTGTTGTTTTTGTTTTTTTTTAATGGCCCTCCCCCCATGCCCACCGTTTCTCTCCCCGTTCATCTATGGGAGGGCCTTTCAAGATCTGAGTCAAGGCAAGTGCCTGATGCCCCCTGGCCACTGCCGATGCCTGTGCATTCATCGCAGCAGCGAGAGCCATGCGGAGAATCATGACCGTATGGAAGCCACCGTAAAAACGGGCCGAAAGTTCAGCTCAGACTTCGAGACGTGACAGTCCTGCTCCCAGAGATACCCAGCAGCTCTTAATATAGTTATTTGGGACATAACCGAAAGGGTCAGCGCAGTGGTGAATCCTGGTCCCATTTATTCGTCCGTTTGTTTATAGCCTGCTTTTCTCCTCAGTGGGGACTTCCGGTAAAAAAAATATCAATGAAGTACAAAACGGGAGAAGTGGGGACGGAAAGCTTCTACCTTGCAGTGCTGGTCTTCCCCTCTTCCCCTCTTGCTCTCCGCAAACCAGCCTTCCTGCCAGCTCAGGCTACAACCAGGGGTCATTTCGTAGAAAAAGAGGTGCAGGAGCTCATTAGCATAACTCATTAGCGTAACTTATTTGCATATGCCACACCCCCTGAGATCACCAGAAGTGTGTCAGAAGGCAAC